TAATACAAAATCATTGTGTATCTGTTTGTAACTGTGTCAGTAATGTTGTATTAAAGAAAGAGGAATTAAATTACTCAGACGATACGTTAGCAAAAATAAACATTTAAAATACGCCATCTTAACAATAGACCTTGTACCGGCATGTAAGTACTCCTTATATTATGTTGATACTAATCTCACGTGTAATCCACCCTCAATTTCAACCAACATAAATGATATTGGCACCTTTTGTATCATACCTGATGTAAGGTTTGGTGAAATTAGTATTATTACAATATGTTAATTAGTTTAGCTTTGTAAAGATTGTAATTTACTAGTGTCCTGATGGTGGTCGAAACCGGTCGTCACTTACTAAATAAATAATTTTGAAAAAATCTGTTTATTTAGTAATTTGTGAAGTGTTTATTTAGTAATAAAATAGATCTGTCATTTATTTCCACTACCCAGTTATTAGTATGGCAAGGATGTTTTCGTCCACCCTCGTATGCTTATTAATACAAGTATGTAATTTTTTGTTAAAAACTGGGCAATCATTTGTTAATAATAATATAATATTAAGACTTATTTAAAACTCCAAGTTTAACTTAAGTTAATCTTAACTATTTTTAAGTTTTATTAAAATTTAATTTAGGTCCACTTCAGTCTTTATCTTTCTTATTGTTTCCTCTAGTACTTTTTCCTGTATAGCTTTTATTTTCTCAGTGATTTCCTTTGATCTGCCAATTACTCTATTTTCATTTTCCTCTACTTTTTCTTGCTTTCCGTTCAACAGTTGTTCGAAATGTATCCTCCATCTTTCCGTGATATCTTTGACTTCGGTTAGTATTATTCCATTTTTAGTCATAACTTTACATCTTTGTTGTTTCGTAGGTTTTTAGTGTTTTATAAAACAATCTTACATTTGCTTTACTGTTTTCTCCCGTTGTTTCTTAATTCTTTTCACAATCTTTTGTCCTTTTATTTCCATTTTTACTCCTTTATTCCAGCATGGTGCCCGTGTCTCATTTCTTTTATTTTTTGTGGTGTCGCATACTACTTTTGTAGTATTTATTATCATCATCATCATCCAGCCGAATTTTCACATCCATTGTTGGACATAGGCCTCCTCCAAACGTCTCCAGTTCTCTCTATCTCTAGCTGCTGCAATCCAGTTTGTTTCTATCCTCCTTAGGTCGTCGGTCCATCGGGTGCGTGGTCTGCCTCGACTTCGCTTGTCGGCTCTTGGTCTCCACTCCAATAATCTCGTATTTCGTAATTTTCGTAATTCGCAGTATAATATCGTCTACGCCAGTTCGTCGGCGTATCTCCTCATTTCTCACGAGATCTTTCAAGGTCAGGCCCAGCATTGATCTCTCCATTCGCCTTTGTGTTACCCTCAGTTTTTCGGCAGTAGCTTTCGTTAAAGTTAGGGTCTTTGATCCGTAGCTCGGGACTGGTAAGATGCATTGGTTAAATGCCTTCCTTTTCAGGTGAATTGGGATATTTGTTTTAAAAATGTCTCTCATCCTTCCATATGCCGCCCATCCCAACATGATTCGTCTATTTAGCTCGCAAGTTTTGGTTGTCTCTGGTTATTCTAATTTCATGACCCAAGTGTATTTATCGATTAATTCTACCTTGTTGTTATTGATCTGTATCTCTTCGCTGGGAACCATATTGGTCATCATTTTGGTTTTCTCGAAATTTATCTCCAGCCCAGTTTCTTGTAGTATGTCATTCAGTTCTTGGAGCATGTCTTTGATCTCTCTTTGATGATGTATTTATTATAGTATTTCTAAATTATCCCCCATCCTTCTTATACTATTTTGTTTCTTCTCCTTCTTTGTCCATTTTTTATTTAACTAAACTGATTCTTGCCTTAGTTTATGTATTCTAATTACGTCCTTGTATTTCTTCCTCTTATCCTCTGTTCTTTTTATTTCTGTTCTTTTGCTGTTAAATGTTTTTTCCAGTAAGTAGTCGTCACTGCCTATTTCATACTTTCTTCTCACCCTTACGTCCCGTATCCAGCTCATCTCTGTGCACTATAATAAAATCGATAATTAATTATTCCTTCCTTTAAGATGACCTTTCTTGTGATCTTATGTATCTTTTTATGTTGGAAATGTAAATTTATGATTATCATGTCTGAACAAAGTTCATGTAATAGTTTTCCATTATTCTTGATTTTGTCTTCTTCGCGTGGTTCTAAAACACTATTCCATTTTTCTCCTTATTTCTTCATTCTAGCACTAGCATTTATAGCTCCGGTGATTACTATTTTTGCTGTACAAATATTTTATACTTCTTTTTCTACTCTATAAATTATACTAAAAACTAAAAACCTTTCAGAGAATAAAATGGTTTCTTCTACACAAATAATTTGTTTGACTAAAACTAATAACTATTTTACTATTCTTAGTATATTTCTTTGGAACTTAATCTACTTGGGTGGCTTTTCTAGGAAAATATCAACCCGTTCTTTATTATAAAATAACAGTGAACCGGCGAAGACAGAGCACGATTACAAATAACTTACGAAAACTTTAACTTGATTGCGAAAACATAAAAGACAGAAATTCTCCAAGTAAAAAGAATATGTAAATATTTGAATTTGAATTCTCATAACTTGAATGTTTTTATAATTGGTTTCAAATGAGTGTAGAGTAATAAATCATGAAGTGTCATAAAATTTGCCTGAAATTCGGTGTCGTCATGGGCGTAGGCAAATGGACGGATGTCAACTTCGTCGTCAAAAATTGATGTACCTCAAAATATCATATTTTGGATATTTTGTGATAACCAATTCAAACTCGTATTCCATTATATGGTCATTAAAGCTAATTACATTTTTATTTATAAAAACAAATTCACTTCCTTACTGAACGAATAAAAGCATTAGAAGAAACTGATAAGGGTATGACGCACCTCCTAATATTACTAAGAACTAAAATAAATCAACATGAAGACTAATAACGCGTAATGAGGTTTTACTTACACTTTCATTATAATCCCTCTTTTATTTTATTATTATCATTCGACATTCGACATTCGAGTTAGTAATTGTTACTACACCAATTAAACGTACAGTAATATTGTGATATAGAAATAGTGAAAAAGTTATAAAATGGCGACATTTACTCCAAAGAAAAGAGGTGTAAAAAATTCTCCGCTATCTGTTAGTGAAAAAGTTATAATTTTAAATGTATATGATTGCATAAAACACGATCACCCTAGTTTGTCTGTGCAAGAAAGTGTTGAGCGATGTGCCCGAATGACTGGAATTGGACAGTCCACGATTTTTAAATTATTGCGAGAAAGAAAGATATCAGGCCAGTTAAGTCCATGCAAGAGAAAATCAGGAAGACCAATAAAAATCTTAGGTGAAGACACCAAACGTGACATTCGAAGAAAAGTTCATTCGTTTTATTTTAAAAAGGAAATACCCACCCTTGACAAAATACTAATGGAGATAAGCCAAGATAACGATATTACTTTGATATCCAGAAAACTTTTATGGAAAACTTTAAAAAGTATGAATTTTTTCTGGGAAAAGCACAATCGAAAGGCACTATTACTGGAAAGTGATGAAATCATTTGCTGGAGACGAAAATATTTGAGAACTATAAAACAGTACCGCAGAGAGCATAAGAAAATTTTTTATCTTGATGAGACGTGGATAAACGAAGGTTATATAGTCCAAAAAATGTGGCAAGATAAAAATGTAACAAGTGCTCGCCAAGCTTTCATAGAAGGCCTTTCGACGGGTATTAAAGTGCCTTCGGGAAAAGGGAAGAGGCTTATAATTGCTCACATTGGAAGCGAAGAAGGATTTTTAAAAGAAGGTTTGTTAAGCTTTGAGTCATGTCGGACGGGAGATTATCATGAGGACATGAATTTGGATGTCTTCGAAGACTACTTCGGGGAAATGTTAAAATTTTTTCCAGCTGATTCGGTCGTGGTTATGGATAATGCAAGCTACCATTCAAGGCGCATAGAGAAGGTACCAACTTCAGCTTGGAGAAAGCAAGAAATTATTAACTGGCTGTCAAATAAAGGTATTCAGTTTGAGACGAATTCAATAAAGAAGGAACTACTAGCCGTAGTAAAACAACATAAATCTCGCTTCATAAAATATGCCGTAGAAGATGTAGCAGAAAAGTATAAAGTAACTGTGCTACGCCTACCGCTATATCATTGCGAATTAAATCCCATAGAACTTATATGGGCACAAGTTAAAGGATATGTTGCAAGGCACAATACCACATTTAAAATGAAAAATGTCAAGGTATTGTTTGATCAAGCCATTATGAAAATCACATCAGAAAGCTGGCAAAAAGCAATCCATGTTTTAAAAGAGGAAGATAAAATGTGGGAACTGGACAACTTGGTCGATCAGGTGGTTGACCCTATAATTATAACACCAGGGGATGATGACAGTTCTTCGGATGAAGACTATAGTGATGTAGAATTGTAATAACGTATCCAGTAAAGTTTTTGTAGTTTTTGTGAATAAATTGATTTAAACTCCCCACAAGTGTTTCAATATGTAAAGTTCATTCGTGTGTGTTTGTGAGTATTTCCCGATTTCGGTTCGTATATATTTTATTGTTACATTTTATATTTTTTTAATAACACTGTTCTGCTTTATTACATTTTTATTTCCTTTAATATGATTTTTAAGAATGCATATTCTTTTGTCAATTAACCCACTAGCGCGCCTCTGGCTCAGTGTTTATCTGTCGATAACAATGGATTAATCCCTTAAAACAGGGTGATACCTACCAGCTCTTTATGAAACGACAGAATTTTGCAATGCGGACGGAATTTAGTAGCGCTTTTGAATACTTCATGAGATTTTATTACTCTACACTCATTAGAAATAGATTATAGTTCCTATTTAATTTATTTTTTACCTAGAAATTTGTTTTAAATAACAACCTCAAATTCTACAAATTTGATAAAATATAAATACCTCGTAACTGCCATAGAAATTATTTTGGAAATATAAACATCCAAACCTGTATGGTGGAAACTCCAAACGTGTAGGCTGGAAGCGGTTCCACTGCCGAATTGATGACGTAGTCTCCCAATGTGACGTGTACTTGTCGTGGGGTTGCTCGAGCAACGCAGTGACCGGCCGTAACAACGTGACGTCTGCTGACTAGGGAACCCCCGCACCTAAAATCATGTAACTTTGTAATAGATCTTGCAATCTGTAATAAAAATTAGTAATTTAGCTTTTCTTTTGTATATACAAAGGATCCTCACAAAAGAAAACTACTAGTTCTGCAACTCATTTTACACTTGGGTAGTGATTAAGTTCTTTTTTAAAAAATTTTAGTTCAATAAAAGTTCAGGCAAACTTTCGATGAACGGCACCAATTATACGGGTTTGAAGAACCGCCAGGAATCAGCCGACTTAAATCAAGGAAAAGGTTTATGAGAAATGTCAGCGTCGAACCACCCGAAGTGTTCCCCCTACATCCAGAACGACTTAATGGAATAAACCTGGACTGGAGAACCTGGCGGACACTCAACCGCATACGCACAGGTGTTGCCCCTGTAAAACAGAACCTCATTAAATCGGGCATCAAGACAGATAGCGAGGCACTCTGTGAATGTGGGGAAATACAGAACGTGGAGCACCTGAGAGTATGCAGACTTTGCCCATCACAGTGCATCCTCGATGATTTATGGCTCGCAAATACAAAGGCTGTAGACGTAGCCCGATATTGGGCAGAAAAACTGTAGTCGGATCCAGACTCGAAAAAGTAAAGTAAAGTAGAAATACTTCTTATACTTGTAAGTAACTTTTTAGTAATTATCATTAACACATTTAGTTTTCCTTTGTCAGACTAGTTATTGTTCGTCCATGTTTTCATAATTCACTGCACCACTGCTGTTAAATTTTATATATACTGATAAATTCTGCGGATAATAATTCATTTTATTGCATTATTCCAAGATCCAGATCATATCTATCATTTCATCAGCAGTAAAATAATTAAATACTGTTAATTTAGTAATTAATTACTGAATTATTAAACAATTGTAATTGCTAAATTAGGTTGTACTCCAGGGGGGGCCAATTCGTATGTAACCTAGGGACGTGCCTAGAGCCCGTAATTTTTGGAGCCCGAGAATATGGATTTTAATGTTTTTATTTTTATTTTTAACAAAAAAAGTATATTCATAATTATTGCTGAAACGTATGGAAATTATGCCGAATCGTTGATTGCCTTTACGCAAAAAAATTATACATCGATATTACTTATTACTAATACTTATTACACACATCTTATGACCATTGATTATAAACCACTACCTAGATAGCTCACCTCGTGGTAACCGAAAGACGTATCAAAAACTAGATGGCGTTACTCGAAAACCGTATCGAGATTCTCATTCTCTCTCTGACTTGCGAGGAGATAGGAGTGGTGTCAGGGCCGAACTTACCCTATAAGTGTATTATCTGTGTGAAGTGTTGTGACAAGTTATAGCAAAATTTTATAAAAAGAAGGACTCACATTTTAGATAAAATGGCCTGTGTAACGCATAAATGTGTTTACGCGGGATGTTTTGAAAAAAACGATGGAACAAATAATAATATATCTTTCTTTAAATTTCCCCTGAAATACGTAGAGCGCACAAAAATTTGGCAAAAAAACTGTTGGAATATTGATATTATATTGATGGATATCAGTGACCTAAAACAGAGGGTAATTTGATAGCATCATTTTGCAGTGAAACATTTTTATAGCACTTTTATATAAATATGTACATTTCCTCAGAAAATTCTTCTCGACTATTAATAATAAAATGTTTCGATATTGTCAATAATGAAAGTACTTCTTGAGAACAATAAATAATAAATATTTTGTTTCCTAAAATTTTAATTTTACAATCTTAGTTTGAAAAGAATTAAAATTCAAATATACTTATTTACTTTGTTTTGTAATATGATCTAATTAGTGATGTTTTAAACTTTCTAATTCTGTCCGTTTATCAGCTTTTACCTATTGTTCCTAGGCAGATGGCCCTCATCTATTTATGTATTGGAAATTCCCTGTCATTTTATCAAGATTTGTACTTACTTTATTCATTTTTAACGTTGGTAATTTGTGGTATTTTGTTAAAGTCAAAATCGATTGCATTTGGTACTCACCACTACTTGCTTTTAAAACCTCGATGACGTAATTCCAGAAAGTCCTCAGAAAATTTTTAAATGTAAAAAGTATGCGATCGAACAGTAGATCAAGTGATTTTAGTTCACCTCTATACAATTTCTTATTTTGCACAGAATATAATTGACTTCTATATTGCCATTTCTAGATAAATTGTCAATTTTTTGTAGTACAATGTTAGTACTATTAGAACAAAATTTATATCATATTCTTGTCGAAGTTCCTTCTCCTATCGAAGGTTGGCCATTACCACAGCTATCCGTACTTTATTGGCGGCTGCTCTGAAAAGATCTATTGAGCTGCAACTATACCACTCTCTTAAGTTTCTCAGCCATGAAATTATTTTTCTACCTATGGATCTTTTACCCTTAATTTTACATTGCATTTTACGCTTTTCGCACCTTCGGTAATGTGACCTAAATATTCCAGCTTTCTTGTGTTGATGTTCTTTATCACCTTGCAATTCTTTTGTAACCTTAACACTTTTGCATTTGTAACTCTTTATCTCCAGGTATTTTCAAAATTCCTTTATAGCACCACATCTCAAATGCTTCCAACTTCTGCCGGAGACAGAATGATTCTGTCTCCGACTTCTATATAACATGTAGTTTCTCCTTTTAAAAATATTAAAGTGTTTGTTTGTCTTTGTGTATTGTATTGTTATGTCCAAATTTACATGTATGACATTCTGCTCACGTCGGATAGGCCACAACTGACGAAATGCCCCTGAAGATGATCTATTGATCGAAAGTACTTGGGCAAGATTTAATTAATTACTGTGTTCGATAGTTGCCTTGTATACCATCAAAGTTTAAAATCTAATTAGTTTAGCTTCCGTTCGTTAATAAAACATTCCGATGTGGACATTTTGGCTAACATTTACAATTTATTTTGTCTAAATGACTTCCTACCTTGAAGATCCTATTCTTATATAAGCCTGCCATGGGAATGTACCGAATCCAGCTTCCTCGCCTCCTACTATTCTCCTTTGGGCCTGCGGTGAAGATACTCCACAACCTATAATAAAAAAAATTACCTTATTAGTAAAAGATATGCAAATAACCAAATTAAGAGACAATAGGACAATAAAACTCTAATTAACGTTTACTAAGACGGATAGAAAATTTTGGTGAACGCGCTGGGAACATTCGCCATATTGTAGTATCCTCTTTAGGCAACGATTTATCAATGATTATAAAAAAAGCAAGTATTTTGGAATAGTTCTAACAAAAAAAAATAAGTTTTTAAATTCTTTTATGTAAAATAATTAAATGTTTGGGAAAATTAGCTAAAAATGTTATTCAATACAGCGATTATTACCATTACTATTTTTATTATTAACATTAACATTAATTTTATTTTATTTTGGGCGGTATTAGATTTTATTATATCTTGCATGTGTTCCAATTTCAGCCTAACCCAAATTTAGGATAACATTGTATCTACAAAAAAGATTAAATTATTCATATTTGATTTTTTTTTCTAGAATCATGGTCAGAACTAAAAAGCCTCAGCCAATGCAAAAAAAATTCACATATGAAAAGTGGCTTGTCTGACTATAAAGCATCCAAAATGTTTGATATGCCAAAAATTACATTGAAAGATGTAAATGCAAAAGGAAACTAGTGATGGGGAAAAATAGTAAAATTGATTGTTTTTGGCTGTTGCGGGTTTTTATCCCGCCAATCTCTTATATAATATAATAATCTCTTATAAGAGAGAACCCATTTAAGAATGGAATTTCTAGAAAAAGATGGTACCAACATTTCTAACCCGTCACCCGGAAGATGTAGGATGTTAAAAGTTTTTTTTAACTATGAAATATTTATGTATAAAATTATCCAGTACGCCTGTGTCCGAGATATGAATGCTTGCCTCCTATCTGTGTGCATCGGAAGTTTAAATATTTAGTATATTGCATTTTATTTTCTACGATCCTAAAATCAAGTTGAAAAATATTTTAAGGCTGTTTTACGAGGTGAAGTTAAGGAATTTTTACGAGCTGAAGTTTGATGGAAGGTCGCACTTGGAGTTTGAGGAGTTGATCAAACTGAACGGTTCGTTGTTTTGTGGTAATAAAAAGCCAGCAGAATTTGCCGAAAATAAGTGGAATTTTACTCTATGTAATATGTCGAATTTGGAATAGTAACCACTTGATGTTCTAAAGATTTGTGTGAACATTTGAAAAGTGAATAAGATGGTTCCCGTTTTTCTTAAGAAATCCCGTTTTCCAAGGTTTGCATAAATGCCTCTTCAACCTCACTTATTTGTTCCTGGTTGTTCCTGAAGCAGTTTGTTTTGTTCGTGTCCACAGAGTTCAACCCCAGTTCTACCCCAGAAATTTTAGCAATAATCCCAGAAGTTTCAATGCAAAATTTTAGTAAAAATCCAGATATCCAGATAAGTAAAGTAGACATTTTTTTCAAATAATAATTATTTCTTTCATAATAATTTATATTTTTAATAATAAAATATTGTAAATCTTGGGGTGTGGTTATGTTGTCAATTTAATTATTCTCTATCATCAAATTAAATGTTTACATGACAGCTAGCCTTAATTTGTGACATTTTTTATTTGTTTGTAGAAAAGGTTAACCATTACGGTATTTTCATTTATAAAGATAATTAATTCATTTTAATAATTTATTTCTGCCACGGTTTTAACTTAATAACCATTTTGAAAGTTTCTGTTGTGATTCCCAATTGTAAACAGATAGGACTCATGTAATTATATATAATTACTTTTGAGTGTCTGTATATGTAACTGTTTGTTTGAGTCAAAAATAAATGTTCGAATTCATTTCCCTAATTATTTTGTTTATTTTATTTTAGAATAATCTCCTAACTTCTTGTTATGTTCTTTATTTTACGGATATTTTTTCTAAATCCAGCAAGTTTAGGATTCTCCGAAGCGGCGTCCTTTTCAAATAGCTAGAGGTCTTTTCTTGTTGTTGTTATTTGCTCATTTGTCCAGGAGATTTATGTAGGTAACCCCTTTGTTTCATTTTTTTTGTTGATGCCCCAATCCGACCCCTTGTCATTCAACTTATCCACGACTCCAGCTCTCTAAACAAACCCTGAGTGCCGTTAGCACAAGGATTATTTTATTTTTCCCTATTTCCACCCCTATAGTTTTAGTCCCCAATTTTCTATCCCATGTGGTAGGTAAAATACATTTGTTACAAAGTAAGACATCGTGTATCGCTAAAACAAAGAGAGGAGATAGATGAAGCAAATAAAAAGATCATGAAATTTAAACAAAAATGCTGCTTCTGGAAGAAAAACAGATGAAAGAACAAGAAAGCCGAAGAGAAACATTTTCCATTAGTAGGAGAAGAAATAGCAGAAGATAAGTTCAATTATAAAACTATGGAAAAAAAGGATATCATTATCAAAAAATTAGTTGTTTAATTGCAGCGCCTCAGTACATTAAGAAAATGGGTATTTTTTCTGTACCTTAGATAAATAAGTCATTCATAACTCTTTTTTTTACGCAATAAATGAAAAAAACTGCTCCTAAGTAGCCTGCTTATAATAGTATTTTTTGTTGCTTTTTTATGTTAAAATAATGTTAAATTACGTTAAAATAATAATGTCTTACTAACGTATGTATATCGTTTTATAATATTTATGTTTTTATGCTTTTGTATTTTTTATACCTACCGTGAAAACATTGAAATACATATTTAAAAAAATTGTGTGTACGATTTAAAACAAAAAAAAGATAATTCTTTTAATATACAGGCCGGAACTAAATCACCATTAGGCCAAAATTACACTAATTTTTCAACATGGGCCGGAATTAAAGTTTTTTGCATTTTAGTGCAAACAATTTTTTTTGGCAAATAAAAACACATTTTGTATTTTTTTATTAATTATTTTGATAAAGAAAACATCAATCTATTAAATTTACTTTAAATCCATTTTCTCTATTATTTTGTTTCCTTAACATTTACGTCTAAAGTCAAATATTCCTTAACTGGGTCGTTATTAGGGATGTTATTAACGTTATTAACGTTATTAACGCTTAAACACGCGATTAAGGATGAAGGAGACTTTCGTAAGGTTTGAGAAGGAAGCAGAGAAGATGGGGCTCCAAATCAACGAAAACAAGACGAAATATATGTATATGAGCCGCAATAATCAAAGCAGAGACAGAATCGGTCAGAACATTACCATCGATGACTTTAACTTTGAGCGCGTTAGAGAATTCAAGTATCTTAGAACAACAATAACTGAAGACAATAACGGATCACAAGAAATAAACAACAGGATTCAGGCCGGCAACAGATGTATTTTTGCCCTCCAAAACCTTATAAAATCAAAACAACTAACACGACGTTCGAAGATACAGGTCTATAAAACAATCATACGACCCGTTGTGATGTATGGAAGCGAAACGTGGACGATAACAAAGGCAAATGAAGAGAGACTACGTGTTTGGGAAAGAAAAATCCTAAGGAAGATCTTCGGTCCGGTGCTTGATGAAGCATCAGGACAATATAAGATAAGAACTAATAAAGAGCTTGAAGAACTTTACCCAGACGCCAACATCATAAAAGAAATAAAGTCCAGAAGACTCCAATGGGCGACAGGACACCTCAGAAGACATTCTGACGAACGAACAGTAAGACTGGTGTGGGAGGAAGTCCCAACTGGAAGGAGACCACGCGGACGCCCTCGTCTCCGGTGGCGAGATAATATAGCAGGAGACCTAAGCACTATGGGCGTGGAGAATTGGATGGAGGTTGCTCAAGACAGAAAACAGTGGAGGCATGTTGTCGAGTCGGCTAAAACCCACGAAGGGTTGTAACGCCACGGAGTAAGTAAGTAAGGGTCGTTATTAGGTCGATTTACCTGATTTGTCTTTCTCCATTTTAAATTTTGTATAGCGGATTTACTAACCACCTAAAATAAAGAACGTTTATTCTATGGTCGTTTTCAATAAGGATGACTCGTTATAAAATAGCAAGAAATTAACATAATTTTATGAAACATTATAAAGGAAGTAACTAGAAGAAGTAATTAATAATAATTAGAGCTTAATAAATTTACCTGATGAGTTATATATTCATAATCTTTATGTTAATTAGCTATCAAGTGCAGTTAATGTTCTGCAAATTATCATATTTCCGGGCTGTTGTGGGCAGTCTGTTCGTATTTTATGGTTTTAATTTATCAAACAGTTTATGGATAATATTAAATGTCATATATAGTGAACTTTACCAAGGGTCGCTTAATGCTAGTTTAGAAATTATTTCCTTTGGGACGAGTATTTCAGATATTTAATGTTTATCACTTTCAAACTACCCTTAACTTGTTAACGAAGAATTGTTTGGTAAGCCACGCATCTGTAAACGTTAAAAATGTAGGTACAAATACTTTCAGCTAAATATATTTTTTTTTGAGCAATGTCACATATAATAGTAATAGTAATTTGTCAATATATTAGATACTTTTAGATTTGTTCAACGAAGTATATCATCATCTTTGGCTCGACAATCCTCTGTGGATCTTGGCCTGCTCTAAGATTCGTCGCCATTCTGTTCGGTTTTTGGCAACATGTTGCCATCTTCTGATTTTTTATATTCGTAAGTCGGTTTCAACTCTATCTAGCCACCTAATTCGCGGTCGGCCTTTGCTTCTTTTTCCTACAGGTGTTCCTGTGGTTTGCTTTTTAGCAATCGTATTTTCTGGCATTCGTATTATGTGTCCAGCCCATCTAAGTCGCTGTGTTTTAATGAACGTTATGACATCTGGCTCATCAAAGAGCTGATACAATTCAAGATTTTATCTTCTGGGCCACTGCCCTTGGTAGTTTACAGCTCCAAATATTTTGCGGAATATTTAACGCTCAAATATTCAAATAAGTCTTTCATCTTTCTGCGTTAGAGTCCATGTTTCTGCTCCATATGTGAGGACCGGCCTCAGCAATGTTTTGTATATAATAATTTTAGTTCTTCTTTGAATGTTTCTTGAGTGGAAATGATTTTGAAGTCCATAGTATGCCCTATTTG